TCCACTGCTGTTTCTCTTGCCTCTACATGATGTGCGCACACACTTGCCTCTACATGATGTGTTGCGAGCAGAGAGCAGGACCATCGCTAGATTTTTTTCTTTGTACAAATCAGTCCCGAGGGGTGGGGGAGGGGGGGGAAAGGCGCACGTGTAGAAGAAAAGGGTACCGGATTTAATTGGGATTTGCGCTTTTGACATACAAAGCCCGCTGGTTGTCCAAAGAAAATGGAGGGGAAATCGAGCGTGACGGGGGGGGGAGGGGGGGGGCTGTCAAGTAGAAAAACAAGCGGACGTGATCGAAGATTGGCACTACGCCGCCTCCAAGCCCGGTGTCCTCTGTTATCCCGCACGTTTTTGGTGCCGCCACCGCGCTCCTGCTTTTGTTATTGGCGCGGGAGAAGATACTACCTCCCGTAGGGTGGCCTTTTTTTCGCACGTTTCGCGGTGCTGTTTTTCGTATCTGGTGGTGGTGCTCACTCTCACTCTCAAGCACGAGCCAGCCTGCTGCCGCTTGCTGCGGGATGGCGGTGTTGGTAACAGTTTCCCAGTGGCGGCGCCAAGACGAGGAGGAAAGTTGGGCTGATGCGCACGTTTTGTTGTTGTTGTTGTTGTTGTTGTTGTTGTTGTGCTGCTCGCCCGCATTGTTAGCCATCAAGGGTGGCGTGATGCGACGATTGGTTCTTCCTCCGCATGTCTGTCGATTGCGGTGCTTCGCTTGTTGCGCCCTATATTTAATAAAATGCGGGTGACGGGCAAAGAAGTTTGAGGAATTGGAATTGGAGTATTTATTGTGTGGGCTCGCCCGCCTCTCTTGTGTCTTTTGTGTTTTTATGAGTCGTTCCCTCCCGTTTTCTCCGCCCTCTTCTCCTGTGCACCAAAACACGGATGGACCATGACCGCGAGAAAGAGAACGGGCGGGAAAAAAAACAAAAATCAGTAGTCGGTTTTGGGCGTGGGTGGGAGTTAACCAAGCGGGCATCTCGTTCGTCGTGGGTGGACCTCCATGTTTTGACCCTTCCAGGCGGTCGCAATTCGAACGGTATCCACGCCCATCCTTGTCCTGGCGTCAGCCTCTGGTTGTTTTTCGGGTGCTGGGGCGGTGAGGGAACTCATGCATTTAGT